CCAAGGCCTGAGGTTGCCTACAGGCTGCCTATAAGGCTCAGTAGCTAAAAGAGCCTTTGGGCGATATGCGAGTTAGGTGGGGTGGGGACCCAGGGAGTCACCAGGGTAAAGCAAGCAGATTTCACCCATCCAATGCAGATTCAGGTTGTGTGCCAATGCTGAATCTGTGGCCTCTTGCAAAAGTCTTGGATTACAGCAAAGCCAGCTGCCACCTGCCTCTCAGGCTGGGGCTGGCTGCCTACTACCGGGATTATCTCGGGAAGTGTGTGAGAAGAGGCCTGTTGATTATTGTTAAAAAGAGCTTCCTGCCAAGTGGGCTAGGAGTTGCTGGTTACTCAGTCATGAATATGCCTCCAGTAATTAGCATTTTGGGTGGGGTGGGGTCCCAGAGAGTCACCAGTTGGAGCAAGCCAATCTTGCCAGGCCAATGCAGATTCAGATTCAGTGCCAGTGCTGAGCCTATGGCCACTTGCAAGACTCAGATCTCACTGAGGCCAGCCACTGCCCATCCGGTATCCACAGACTTCCAAGATTTGTTCAAGAGATACTGAAGCTCGGGCCAGCACTGATTGCCCACCACCAAACGTTTCTCCCATGATCCATGGGACTTGAGCTACCTGCTGATTGTTGTCAAATGCACCCTTTGCCTAGAGTGCAGAATAGGACTGGTTGCTGGGCAACAAGTTTGCTATGAGGAATTTATGAGTTGGGAGGGGAGTCATGGAGTGGAGCAAGCTGATCTCACTGGGCCAATGCAGATTCAAAATTTGCCATGTCAGAGGAGGGTTCAACATAAGCAAGATAGCGCCTCTTGTAGACCACACCATAGGGGGCCCAACAAAGGAACAATGGCAGCTGCAGCCCTTGCCCAACACTACACAACTCAGTCTTTCCCTGTATCTTGCATCTCCTGAGCTGCTGACCCTCTGCTGAGTGTCTGCAAGTGAATTTGGGCATGGGCCCTTTATCGGGAACATCTAGGTTTTCCTTCTGTCTCATCCAGATGGTCAGAATCCCCACTCATTTCTACAGTCAGATTTTGTGGAGACTCCTCTTCTGTCACTGGAACCCTGGGCTGGGGATCCCCTGTGTGAGCACCTCGCTCCTTCAGAAGGATCTCTGCAGCTGCAATATCCAACCCCAGGGCCAGCCTATTTTGCATCTCCAACCCTCCTATTAGTCTTAATTTGACTTCTTTATATCTTCAGTTATATGTGATATGTTCAGCTAGACTTCAGGTGGTTCTCCAAGTTGATTGTTTTATCATTTGTAATTTTAATGTAGTCCTAGGAGGAGGCAAACCCCATGTTTACCTAGCCCACTCTCTTGACCCCTCATTTTGTTTTGTTTTTTAATTGACTTTTCAGTTTTACTAAGATACAGTTGACATACTGTATAAGTTTAAGGTATACAGCATAATGAATTGACCTATATATATTGTGAAATGATTGTCACATAAATTTAGTTAATATCCATCATCTCATATAGATACCAAAAAAGAAAAAAGAAAAAACTGTTTTTCCCTTGTGATAACTTTTCGGATCTACTCTCAGCAACTTTCAAATATCTCTTACAACAATGTTAACAGTAGTCACCATTCTGTTCATTACATCCCCAGTACTTATAACTGGAAGTTTGGACCCTTTAATCAGACTTTAGAGAGCAGTTTTAGGTTTACAGCAAGATTGAGCAGAAGATACAGAGTTCCATATGTGTGCTGCACCTCACAAATGTATATAGCCTCTCCTATTACCACTGTCCCCCAGCAGAGTGGTACACATTTGTTACATCTGATGAACCAGCATTAACATGTCATTATCACCCAAAGTCTATACTTTACACTAAAGTCTATTCTTTGTATAGTACATTCTATGTGTCTGGACAAGTTTACAATAATATGTATCTACAATTACAGTATCATAGAGAGTAGTCTTACTATCCTAAAAATTCTAAAAATCCATATTTTCATTTTTAACCACATATCTACCCTGGGTAAAGCAGCAACATGGGCTAACCATGCCCAAAAGCAAGCGGAAGGGACGAGATGCAAAATTCCTAAAATTTTCAACCAAAGTGGTCCTGCCTCCCTTACAGGATATCATAGAATACAGATGGCTCTTTTTGAGTGGTGACATCAAATAGTTTGCCTATCAAGCTTGATGCACTCCCCAAGTATTGGCTTCGGTCTGTATCTTGTCAGCAGTACTTACCACCTCTAGAAAATAATTTACTTACTTGGGTTGCTTACAACAGGAAACAAAATGGTAAAATTTCCCAGTTTTACTAGTCAAAAATCCCCTGAACCCTCCACCCCCACCCCAAATCTGCTGATATGAAATGAGTGAAGCCAATGCCTTGCTCAGGTTTCACAACTTTAAACCAGTACCTTGTCCCACTTTTCCATACATACTTAAGGTTAGCTTTTGTTGTTATGAGCTGCTAGGATATCATGTGTGCCCTGCCCCCACTAACAAGAAAAATAGACTCCATCCTCAGCATACAGAAAAAATGGAGTGCTGGACAAGAATGGTCATTCTTCAAAACCTTTCTACTCTGTGAATAGTCCTCTACTATCACTCTAGCATCTCCCATGACTGTTTGGGCACTAAAGCTGTGATGATTTTCCAAAGACTGACTTCCTCCCACCTCAGTCTTCATAGCAATTAGAAGAATATTTCCAACACTTGCTTAACCTAACAAATAATAAGCCAAGGGCTATTTTAAAAAGCAGGTTTTCAGAAGCTATTAAACTGACCCAAACAAATAATAATAATAATAATGATAATAATAATAATAGTTTAAACCCTCATTGCAACCTTTTGAGATAAGTACTATTATTATTCTCATTTTATAGATGAGGACTCTAAGGCATAGAGAAGATAAGCAATTTGTCCAAGGTTGCACAGCTAATAATCAGGGATACAAACACAGATAGTCTGGCATCAGAGTCCCTGATCTTAACTATTACATGATATTTGTTAGTACCCTTTTAATCATTTTGCGAGAGAGGGGGGGGGGGAGA